AGTCTTCAACATCGATCGACATGTGCTGTGTATCCTCAAATTTCATGCAAGAGGTTGATGTTCAAGTTATCAATACTGGAATTTCGGACCATACTGGACAATTGTGCAGTATAAACCTACCTGTAGCACAAACAAAACCTTGTATTTACTCTCTCCGTAGCCTCAAACCACATAACTTAGATAATTTAAAACTTCTTTTATCACTTCAAGACTGGACAACTATCTTAGAATACAGATGTGTTGAGGATGCCTACAATAGTTTCATTTCAATCATTACTTTAGCTCTTGATGCTACATGCCCCCGAACAATGTCCCGAAGCAAGAAGAAAAATCCGGTAAAACATGTTTACGATGATGAAGCCAAAATTATGAGAGAAGACTTCATTCGTGCTCAAGACCTCTACATCCTAAGAGGAAAAGAAGAAGATAAACTTCAGGCAAATCATTTAAAGAAAACCTACGACCTAAAGCTGAAATCGCTGCGTCGTACAGCCACTGCCAACTACATCTCGGAGTCCTCAATAAAGTCGAAGGCTATCTGGAATGTGATTAATAGTGAGCGGAAGTCAAAAGAGCTTGGACCTGAAAGTTGTAAAAACCTCATGGTGGACTCAAACAAAGTAGAAGATCCCAGGAAACTTGCTGATTGCTTTAATGCTTACTTCACATCAGTTGCTGAAGATACATTAAAAAACATCCCTGACCAGAAGCCACGAATCGAACAACACACCCAACTTGATGTACCATTTCCCTTGATGTCGTTTCCACCTACCTCTAAGCAAGAACTGCTCAAGATTATCTGCAGTCTACACTTAACAAGACTTCCTCAGGCTTAGATGATTTTTCGTCAATCATGGTTAAACACTGCAAAGATGAACTAGTAACACCTCTACAACATATAATAAACCTAAGTATGTCCCAAGGTATTTTCCCAAGCAAAATGAAAAGCTCAATAGTAATTCCGATACACAAGAAAGGAAGTAAACACGACATAGAAAACTATAGGCCCATCTCATTGGTTTCTACCTTCTCGAAGCTTGTGGAGAAGATAGTTCTTATTAGGCTCACGGATCATCTAGAAATCAACAGGATAAGATTAAATTCTCAACATGGTTTCCAAAAGAATAAATCTACAGTTACAGCCTTGGTAGAATTGATTGAACACATTGTGGACAAACTCGAGAAGGGGGAGAATGTAACGAGTGTCTTCCTCGACTTGAGTAAGGCCTTTGATTGCCTCAGCCATAATCTGATCCTTGCAAAACTTGAAGAACTTGGTTTGCAAGGTGTTGCCTGGAAATGGTTTCAGAGCTACCTAGTGGGACGCAACCAACTTGTTCAACTAAGACAGAAAGTGAATGGGAGAGTCTCTACATACAGATCAGAACTGCTTCCTAATTCAAGAGGCGTACCCCAAGGGTCTATCCTGGGGCCGGTGATTTTTATCCTATTCACTTACGATCTTCCATTACACATCGAGCCGTACAGCAAAGCATTAATGTACGCTGATGATACAGTCTTAGTAACTTCAAGCAATTCAGTTGAAGATCTAGAAGTTAACTCTTACATTGCCTTAAACCTAGCAATTGATTACTGTAACATGAACGACCTGGTATTCAATGCAGGGAAAACCAAGCAGGTAAACATGGGAACGAAGAGAGATGAGATTTCTGGCTGTCCAGATCTTCAGGTTACTGAATCATCAAAGCATCTTGGTTTGGTTATTGACAACAGGCTCTCATGGGTTGATCACATAGACGAACTATGCATGAGATTAAGCAGCGCAACCTTCGCTCTAAGACGCATCAAGTGCATTAGTACGACAGAAGCCCTAATAACATCGTATCACGCTCTCTTTGAAAGTCATCTTAGGTATGGCATTCAGCTTTGGGGAAGTGCCTCCCTTCACATCATCCAACGGGTGCTGGTCCTGCAAAAGAGAGCGTTAAGAGTCATGGCTGGCCTTGGCTGGAGGGAGAGCTGCCGAGAGCCTTTCAAACAGTGGAACGTTCTCACTGTGGTGAACATCTACATCTTGGAAGTTGTTTCACTCGCCTGCTTGAAGGGTCTCCCCAAAAATGAAGATACCCACCAGTACAACACTCGGCGCGCAGGAGACTTCAACCTTCCTGTCCACCACAGCAAGCGGTTTGAAATGAAGCCATCGTACAACGGAGCGAAGTTCTTCAACCTACTACCAGATGAAGTCAAAACTTCAAAACCTAAAATTTTTAAGACAAAACTGAAGGAGTGGCTGCTAGGTCGTCCATTCTATACGATTACTGAATTCACCAACTGGCGGAACGACTGAATATTTTGAACATTTTATTGTAAAGGAAGAAGAATGTCAATCTAATTGTTTGTATATACACTTTGTATTTTTGACACTATTTCAATCTTGAAGATTGCAAATAAAGCATCTCTCTCTCTCTCTCTCTCTCTCTCTCTCTGATTTAAGATTTGTAATTCTATTGTTTTTGGCCAAATGAGTAATCTGAACAAACTGATATCTATTATTTAGGTATGAACTAAACCAATTCAAGGAATGAGGATCCAAGCCAAGTAATTTTAACTTAGCAAGAAGAATTTCATGATCCACAGTGTCAAAAGCCTTTGACAGGTCCATAAAAATTCCAACACATGGTTCACCAGCATCTATTGAGTCTATCACTGATTCTAAGAAACACTAGCAGTTGTAACTGATTTTCCGCTACAAAACCCATGTTGGGAGCTATCCACGAGATGGTGTTCTTCAAGAAAATGTGTTAGTTGTATGTAAACTGCCTTTTCTGTAATTAGGAATTTTTATGACATTTTCAAAACCAAATACAATTTTTACAATCAACCTCATACATTCAGCTAGGGAATTGTAGTGAGTCGGTAGCATCGCGGACTTCGGGCCCAAGGCAGCAATGTCATGGGTCAATGTCAAGCAATGTCATAGGTTCGGATCCTGGTCACTGCCGAAAACATTTTATCAGTACAGATGACCTTTGTACTGTACTGGCTCACTTCTTGCCTTTGCTGTATACAATCCACGCATGGGCGGTTGGTCTATGTGGACGGGCAAATGCAAGGTTAAAAGAGGCCGCCAACCTTTTTTTTTAAAAAGAAAAAGATTGTAGGGAATTATATTAGTTTCAGAATATATAATGAATATATAATGAATATATATATGAATATATAATGAATATATAAGAATATATAATATATTGTATACAATTAAATTGTCGATCGCCAAAAACAGCTGTGTTTGTAGTCAGGTGACCAAAACTTTCCACCGCCAAATCTATTTCAGATTTTCAGACTATGTTTCTCGCTACATAACACTCGTTCAATAATGTTTTAGACATGAAAATGAATCCTTAGAATCTCATCTAAGATTCATTGTGATTTAAACCTGTTTTAATAATTTAACAATAGAAAAACCCAACCCATGACGTCTTGGTCAATAATTGACCAGCGCTACTGAAGCTCATGTTTAAGTGGTCAATAATCAAACAGCTTCAGGTTTAGGGTTAACCCTATCAGTGGCCAACTTCGCAGGACGATCGTTCGCCATTGGTGCTTAGAATGGCCACGATCGTAAGGCGATGGTATGGGCCAAAACTAAGTATTTTAAGGGTAAAAAAATATCAACTCAGATGAGAACAATACCATTCAAAAGATCACATTCTTAACTTTCATTTTATTACATAAACAAACCCTGTAGCAGGTAGGCTATATAACAATGTCACGACAATTAGGAATCAAATGAATTATCGGCACGGCACGACTTTTGCATCCGACACTTGGGAACTGGAAAAACACGACTTGTGTAGCATTAGCTTACCCTGCTCGGGTAATTTTCGTCTTTTTTTACCGTTAAAATAATTTCGGCCCATACCGTCACCAGACAACGGCTGGCCATTCTAAGCATCAACGTCAAACCGTCACCAGACGACGGTTGGCCACTGCTAAGTAGGGTTAATTTTTACGAATTTTCAAAAAAAGGTCTGCAAAATCGCCAAAATGGGTTGGCCATCCCCACTTCTAACATTGGCCACTGCTAGGGTTAAATAATGCTTACTTAGTAGAGAATGCTAATAGGTAGCCTAGGGAATAACTTAAGCTTAGACAGAACAGAGAGCAGATGAAAAACTAAAAAAAACATGCATTAAGTTAACCCTTAGAGTGCCAGGCAAGAAATAAAAGTAACGCTCAAAAAATGCCGATGATTTTTCCCGAAGGTCGCGCTAAAAATGCCGAGCGCGATCTGGCGATTTTTAGGTTAAAATTTTGTAAAAATCGAATTTTCGATATTTTGACCAACGAAAATCGATGTATCGCATCTAGTAACTTTCGACTCAATGTTAATATATGGGTTAAAAGAATCCGAGTATCCATTCGGTTGTTATGACAACTGTTCGATCATTACGAAACGTCCGGTCAGCCGGACGTTGGCACTTTTGGCTCGTTCTAAAAACGTCCGGTCGGCCGGACGTCGGCACTTTTGGCTCGTTTTAAAAACGTCCGGTTCAGTTTTCGAGACAATTTTATTGGTAAACATAGGCCTACATTGATGTCACCATCGATGGTTGACCTATGGATGCCCATCGCTGGTGCTGGCGCAGAATTGAAATGTTGACTAGGCTACCGGTAGGCCTACACATGTAAGGACTAGGCCTAGGCCTACTTTTGTCAACGTAGGCTATAGGATAGAATAGGGCCAATAACAAATAGGGTAACTTAAACTTATAGACTAACAAATTGTAAAACCGAGGGTGGACTCCTTACATAACATACCTAGCTTACAAACACTTAGGCATCAAACAAGGGAATAGGCCTAGCACAACTAACTTAGAGCCCTCTATTAAGACTAGGCTATTAGGCCTAGGCCTATGGCACTAAGACCAAAAACATGAAAGGGGTTTAGGCCCTAGGCAAAGTAAAAGATAAGATTTGGTTGAAGCAATAAGTAGAAACCTGACACAAAAACAAATATAACTATAAAAAATTACCTTTCAATTCTGCTCAAAACTCCTGGGTTGACGATTTGGATTTCTGTCGCCATGGTTGACAAAGAAAAATGAAGCTCGAGAAAAACTTTCGTTGTACAGTAGTTGTTCGAAACAAAACTATCAGAGCTTCGACGAGATGGCTCTGATTGACTTACTAAAACGTGCGCCGGTTAGAAATGAAAAAGATAAAGAATTTGTAAAGAGTATAAGCTTATTAACTTGAAATAAATGTAAATATTGTATAGACGACATCCCGTTCGAGAAGAGACGCCATATTTGAAGTTTGTAAAATTGTAAATTGTAAGTTCGTTTTATTTTTCTTTTCTCTAGAACTGGAAATAGCAGAAATGATAAAATTAAAAATAACTGGAACCACTGTGGAACCGTCTTGTCGTTCCGTTTCCGGTCTCGCACCCTGCACCACTTTACGGTCTTTATACCTTAGCAGTTCTGGTTCTGTTCTGAGTTCTGTTCTGATAAACGTTACGGAAGGGAACGCACCAAGACCATCCGACCCGACGGCTTTGCCCCATGGTGGAAGGTTTTCTGTGCCCAGTCCGGTCCCGGGGCCAAGGCCATTGTAAAGTTTAATGGTCGAGTTGGACCGGTTGGCTTAGTCAAAGCTTATAGTCATATTATCATTGGTGATGTCTACAGAAATCGATAGAGGGCTTGCTGATGATCAATTTTTGATAGACAGAGTTACCAGGGCCAGGCCTACCACAGAATTATGTGACCATACTCAGACACGGTTGCCTTTACATCCAGGCTGCAGCAGGGTTTAAAATATATTAGACACTCATATGATTAAGTATCGAAATGATAATTTAAAGTGGAATTATTTTGCTGTCATGAATAGATGATATTTTTTTTTAAACATTGTAGCCTATCTGTGGTAATTTTTTTCGTAAATCTTTGTTCGCTCCGGTCAATTGGATGACCTAAGACACGAGTCTACAAAAAACCTACATAAAGTAATGTACGAGAAATAGCAGAACGACATCCGGAACGGGAGCCAAAGAACCGTTTCCGAGACCCGAAAGGAACGGGTGGAACGGTTCTTGTTCCGGAACTGTTCGAGTTTGACACTCCTCCAGATTGGCCTGATTGGAGAGAACGTAACGTAGTACAGTGGAAAGAAAGGATCGAAGAAGACAAGAAGACATTCCAAACCCAACGAAACGCTAACATGAAAACCCTTTGATCATAGAAAGAAATGAGAGATTCAAAAAAGTATTAGAAAAAGTCTACAGCTTGGGGAGATTTAATCTACTTCTATTTATTTATTATTTCCCAACGCACTACACCATTTTACAATATATATGTTTACAATATGTTAGAGATGGCATTTACAATAGTTAACTAGAAAAGTAATAACAAAGTAAATAAACTAAAAGAGTAATAATAATAAATTAACACTGCAAGTTACAAAGACAACAAAATTTGCAAGTATGCTGGGGTGTGGTTTCTCAAGTGAGCAAGGAGACCTACTTCTTGAACGGGAGGGGCTTCTCACAGAAGAAGTCGACAATCGATGAACCCGTTTTTACCAGCTTGTAGATCAGAATTATGTCGGCATGATGACGTCGGAGTGATAGAGGTAGATGGTCGAAGGACTTCTCCACATCGTCAACCGGGGTAGTGTGGTAGGCAAAACCAAGCCTAGGTCCAAGCATCCGTATGAACATCAATAACTGGTAATAAAATAAACTGCTTTCTGAATTCAGTAGTTTAGGTCATATTATTTTAAAAGATATATCGATGTTTTAAAACTATGACTGACTAGGTATGTCACGGCAATGTGAGTAGGGCACTTAGCACAGTTCGCTCAAAACGTAGAGTAGAGAGACACCCCATATAGTAGAAAGGGCCGTCCTAAACCCCTGTTGACACACCCATAGCCATAGCCTATTAGTGGCGTCCACCCTGGACTGCCGGCATTCCGTGATAATCTGTGTCACACTATAATTTGCAATCAATTGATACATTAGACCGATAAAGTGAATGACGGCTCATTATTTCGTCTTGAATAAAAAAACCATGTTAATCTCGGTTCTATGATGTACCGTTGCCGACATAACGTAGTTGTTGCTTAATTTACCGAGCGCTACTGGAAAACCCGTAATCTATGAGTCATTTTGTTGTAAAATCTGCATCTAGAAGATGTTTTGGGGCCGGCAACAACCATATCAAATAAACAGTCCGAATAAAATTAAAAATTCATAAATATTGGCGAACTGATTTTTACATTTTTAATTGTAGTCCGAATCAAATACACAGATCAGCTAATTTGATATGAAATTTGGCCTGTTTGTGATTTGGCAGTGTTCTCGTAATAGCGCCAAACTGGTTGCGCTGCTTCTAATGTTAATGGCCAATCAAGTTTCAACAGTTACAACAACTCACTAGTGAGTGGCCACCATTTTTGACCTAAGAATACTCGCTCTTCTATAGTTGAAAATGCTGCCAGTGGCAAGGAAATATTATATTTTTTGTTGTTGTGTGTGTCACAACTACCTAGTGTTGTGTAAAGTGATGTGTTTCTTGTGCCAGTTTGGACTCTTTCCCATTCAGGTAAGCCTGCTATCCTCTAAAAATATCCTAAAAACCTTGGCCCCTGTACTCTATGTTACATCCTTAACATATTTTTTTTTATTATTCGTTTGACTCTGAACTATAAACATGGAAAACTTGTATTACAGTTAAAATAGTATATTTACTTGTATACTTACGAAAGGCTGTGGCGATGGCGATCGGACGGTAAAGTCGTGTTGACGTACCCGTTGTACGATAAATTGTGTTTAGATTAGGAGAATTAATCCTTTTGTTATGCGATGGATTTGTACTTAATAGCCCCATGCGAAGTGTGTTGAAATTTCAACTGAAAATTTCAACGAAAGAACAGAGGTGGAAGAGTACATAAAGTAGTTTTTTACAGATTGTGATAACAAGCTTAAGGACCACATTTTGCAATTGAAATCTTTTCGACTAAACTTTGTGAATGACTTCAAGGACATGAAAGACAAGGTATAATCTTTTTGTAAGTATAAAAGTTCGTATAAAGTATTATCAAATTTGACGGTATCTATCCGTAATCTCAAATTTGACGCTATCTATCCGTAGTCACGGTCAAATATAAAGATGAAAAGTATCAAGTAAGTAAGTATCAAGTAATAAAACAAGAGGGAAATTGTACATCTATATATTTAACTGTCTAACACAATAGTAACTTATGCGTATGCATTTATAGTATGAAATCAATGATTACCTTAATAACTTTTGAAACTCGGAGGTCTTTGGTCAGAATAATTACCTTCTCCTTCATCCGTTCTCACGTCTCCTCTTCTTCTCGTTGTTTCTTTTATGTATGTCGTCACCTGTTTTTCACTTTTCACGTTGCAGTTTGCAAGTTCATTATTTCAGTGATATTTAGTTTATTTTCTAAGTATTGGTAAGATAATATTGAATTTTAGTTATAGTTATTGTTTATTGAGGATACTCAATGCATATTAATATTATTTAAGTCCTAGATTTTGTTTACTTTCCCGAAAATTTCACTTTAAGGAAGTTGTTTTGTCTTTGTTCCAATTTTGGGTCGGCCTAGGTTACGTAGATAGATCGTTGGTACAAATAGAACTTCTAATTCTTTGTGTACGTGGCTATTAAGATAATAAAAAGCTAGATTTTGCCATTCTTACTAATTTAATATTCATTTGTTTCAGGTTGCGTTTATAAAAGAAAACATTGTAAGCTGAAGTAGCTCCGATAATATACACTCTTCCGTTTCAATCTGGTGAAAGTTCAATTGTTTACCTAAACAGTTTGGTCTATTTTCCCCTCAAAAGCCTAGGTACTGGGCTTAAGAGCTTCTGTCCGTTCCTACACTTATGTGTAAAAAGTTGCACAGGTCTTTTTATCTTAAGTTGAATTGTGAAAGTATTGCAAATCTCAACCATGCGCGAAGAAATATCAGCAGCAGTCATATTTTTAGCTCGATTGTTAGAGAAAGGCGAAAACTTTAACCCGAGGCAGTTGGAAGAGTTTAAGGCACGTCTTTCAGAACTCTTAATAGAACGCTTTGAAAATCATTGGTTCCCTGACTTGCCTCAAAAAGGGCAAGGTTATCGTTGTATTCGAGTCAATGAACATTCTAGGCATGACGTATCTTTGGAGAAGGCTGCTAGGGCTTGTGGGATAAAGTATGAAGACATGAAGCTACCGGTTGAACTCACCATATGGGTTGATCCAAATGAAGTTTGTTGCAGGTGAGTCCAACTTGTAGCCTAGACTAAGTTAAGTTAATTGATTTCCTGGGTAGCTGAGTGGTTTAAGCTTAGTGCTCGCCATCAATCTGAAGGAAGCTGGTTTGATTTCAAGTGAGATCGTTTCCAGGGACCCAGATGCCATTCTTTAACTTACGCTATGAATTAATGATGGCATGTTATTTAACAAAAATGTCGACGTTTAACAAGACCAGGGTTTGGACCATTCCCTTTTTATATCTTAAAAATGCCTCTGGCGTAGAAATAGGTACCGGTACTCAAAAAATAAAAATATAAAATAACCTTCAGTAGGCTATGTGTTAGAACTTACTTTTAAGGCCTACTTAAAGATGGTTTTCTTTGTACAACTTTTATAACGGAGTTGGGAACAACTTTTTGTTGCTAACTTTAACACTTGTTTCTAACAAATTGTTTGTAAGTTTACAACAGATAACTTAGTGCTCGTTTCTCTGATGTTGGAAACAATTAAAATGAAGTTAATTGACTGTGCGGGAGCGGAAGAACTGACGCTGAGGGGGCCGCACATATAGTATGAACAATGTGCACAGTGTGGGAGTATACCCTCTTCAAATAAGAATGTTAGGCCTAAACTGCTTTCTGGACTTAAGACAAACACTTAGCCTATTTTTAGCGAATTTCCCTATGGGGAAGTAGCTATTATGCCGGAGGTGGCACGGTAAGACATAGGTCCGGGGCCCGGGATCGATTTACTTTTTCATTTTGATGTCCCCAGAGGCCAAAAACACCACTCGTTCAAATTTATACGTAACTTATATGTGTGTGTGTCAGTTAACGCGATAACTTTTGTTCAATTTTGATGGAATTTGGTTCAAAGATGTAAGGCGGGATAAACTTGAATGAGTTTGTGGACCAGCATTATCGGACCATCTGAATGGGGTTTTAGGGACCCAGTTTTATCTGGTAAAAATTGTTTTTCTCGTTTTTGACCCTCAAAACTCAAAATTTTCCAATGACTCTCTAGACATTTTTAACCTCTTGAATCCCACGGGCGCGCATACACGTCCGTGCAGTAGCCCCGTTGGGAACCCACGGGCGTGTTTATATGCGTCCACGTGCGGTTTAAATTTGCCGCGCTAACTATGACTGCAGGAGGAAGAATAATATGCTGTGTTTGGCACCATTCTATTCAGGGAAAAACGCTGATTCTCGTGGTATATTTTGTTTTGCGCTAGCTTGACATGCATCACTGCTGCGATGTTTAGAAGTTAGAACTCAGCTGATGTTTTGTTACATGTTGTGCAATTAGGCTTCTTATGTTGATAGTTTGTTTGAAAACAATGAATAATCGTGTCGGAACTTCGTGTTCTCTTCAAGATAATGCAATTAGTTAATACTTCTGAAAGGTTGAGTGAAATATCGGGAGTGGATCATTACGACGCTTTCGATGACAAATGATTCAAAATTCAAATGATTCAAATGATTTATTTGGCCATTCAGTTCATATACAGGACAATAGGCTACGTCAACAATACAATAAATAATAAATAACATGCCAAGCTTCTTCTAGCATTCTTGACTGACAAAATTAAATTAAAAGCTGAAAAAAAACACATGCAGGATCTCAAAAACATGCAAAGCAATGCATGCAACTAAAAATACAAATAAAATGAAAACCACATGCTGCAAGCCACGCAAGGCAGAGAAAAATAAATAAATTTACATTTTTGTAATACCTCTACTGGACTACTGTGGGTTCAACCATAGACTAAGCAACACAAGTAGACTCCTCATCCCATTGTAAATTTTGAAGCTTGTTTTTTGTGTCTAGTTCATGTACGTCCACACTGATCGCTGGGGAAGACAACATTTTGTTTCTATTATTTTAGGGTTATTTTCATGATTTGTGCTTTACTATTTGGTTATATAACTAGAAGACCAGTTATTGTTTATGATTAAATCGTTTTATTTAGTTAAATTATGTTTTAAATGACTGAAATAACAAGAAAAAAATTGTAAACAAAACATAACCTCTACAGTTGGACGTACATAACAAACAATAAAATTAGCTTCAGCTGTTCCATAAGGATGACAAATCTACTAAGGGAGTATGATTTATCTATGGTTCAACCCAATAGTAACAAGCTGTGCATTCCAAAACTCTTTAATGGAATAGAATGGATTGGCAAGCATCCAAGCTTTTAGTGTGGTCGCAAACTTGTTCGGTAAGAGTTGTCTTACAGTTATGGGTAAGGCATTGTAGAACCTTATTCCTGCAACAGGAAAGCAGTTGAGAGTTAAATCTAGTCTAACTCTATCTCTAAAAATATTTTCATTGTTCCTAGTGCTATAATGATGAACATTATTAACCAATGGAAAAGCTGATTCATTGTTCTTAATCTCTAACAGGCATTGGTAAATAAATACATTGTGTACAGGCATTATACCATGCTGAACAAACAGAGGTTTACAATGCTCAAGCTGATGGACTCCACACAAGACCCTGACAGCTTTCTTCTGTAGTTTGAGTACTTTTTGCACTCCAGGGGAGTGACCCCAGAGCCTAGTGCCATACAGAATGTGAGCATGGAAAAAAGCAAAGTACGCAAGTCGAACAAATTCAAATGGCATGTCAGCCTTCAACCGTCTGAGCAAATGGATTACACGACTTAGCTTACCACACAGGATTTCAATATGATCGTTCCAATCAAGCTGAGGGTCAAGGGTGAAGCCCAGCAGCTTTACAGTGTTTTCTTCCCTCAGTTCCCTAGAAAGACTGAAAGTGATGTTTTGAGTTTTGGCTTGGTTCAGGCATAATTTATTGTTGCGAAACCAGATAGAAGCTACATCTAATAATTCCTGCACAGCAACTTTAGATACAGAAAAATCTGAGTGACTAGAAAAGAGAGTTGTATCATCTGCATATAGCAGGACATTGCCTGCAACACTGTGATACAAGTCATTGATTGAGATTACAAAAAGGAAGGGACCCATAATAGACCCTTGCGGGACTCCATTGTTCACCATCAGAGGATTGGAAGAGTTACCATTCCAAGTCACACAATATTAGTGTTCAGTGCAGGGATGGTGATAAAGGGTCAGGCCTAACAGTGTATGATGTTGGTGTAACCTCAAAAACCTGATTCCCTGGTAAGTGGTTCGATTATATTTCACATGATGACGCAATAAATATTGATAGTACGGTACATGTATTATAAGTTTCTATGTAGGGAAATAAATTCTCTACAAAATGTAGGCTATATAACGAGTTTAAAATTCCCATGTTATTCTTATGGAGAATATTGTAATATGTTGTACCGGTAGTTTCCTTGTTTATAAATACCGGTATATTTTGATCAAACTTGGAAAATGTATTTATTTTATACTAAGCTACTGTATTAATATTCTACTAAAAAACCACACTTTATTAGTTTCCTTGTACAGCAAACCTAAACTCGTTAAACCTAATGTTATTTAAGTACATTAAGCCTAATTGAAAATCAATTCAAACAAATGGAAATTCGCTTAGTCTGCAGGTTTGCTTCGTCGGGGGTGTTATCAAATTAGGCCTACTGTACAAAAAATTAATCTGCCCCCCAACCAGTGATGCAATTTTAGGTAGGCCTATTGTTTACAATCAAGAATGGCAATTTACTGATAAGTTCGAAATATGATCTGAAGATCTTTATTTAAGGATATGGAACCAGTTATCAGTAATATTAACTCCCTCCACTAGACGACAGACTCAATAATTTCATAGGCCTATTATCTTCTTTTCCCATACGGTGAAAGAGGCTTTAACGTTCTGAACAAAGCTCATGATCAAGAAGAAACGTAAGATTTAGAAAACTATTTCACTGAGGTGAAACTCATGACTCAATGAGCTGATTGACGTAAGTAATATATTCTTACAATAATATCCACAGCTCAGGGGCTTAACAATGAATTAAAAAAAAAAAAAAAAAAAAAAAAAAAAAAAAATTAGAAAACCTTTTGGGCAACCAGTTACCGATGAAAGAACTGGAAATATTATATTAAAAAAAATCATATGTTTGTTAGCTGAACTTGTATCAAAACTCAAGAGGAACGGTTGATTTTAACGTGTTTCACCTCTCTAGTAGGATAAACGAGTTATTTTTACCATCAACTGTAAAATAAATTATGTGTTGTTGGCCAAGATTGCTAGGTTAAAATTTCCATCAAAATAGACCAAATTTAAATTCCACCGAAACTTAAATAGGCCTACCTAATAAAAGCCAAAGTTATTTGTAAAACATGAATTTCCTTTATATTGCTCTACTACAATCAAATTCACCCGGGACTGATTTTGTGAATAGGCCTAATGACAATGTCACGTCTGTTTTCCCAGATGTACTGGAACACTGGAAATGTGTATTTATCGTAACAATAAAATTATATTCTATTCTATCCATAAACAACTAAGATAACTTATTGTAGGTCTAATTTAAATTGGAGTATCATGATTTGTGTGTTGTTGTTGAGATGCAGCGTCTGGACTCGGTCTGGCTGGTCTGGACGATGCACAATCTCAGGAAATGAAAAATATCCTAAACTTAGTTATAGCCTACATTAATCCGTTTGAAACAATTCAATTAGGCCTATAGTTTGACTAGTCATAAAAGTTTGTAAAATATTAGTTTCTATTTTTTTTTTATGAAACACTAGTTTTTGATGTATTGAATGATATAAAAAATTAAATGGTTGCCATTTTGAATTGGTATGATTTAGAATGTGATAATTTGTCTTTATTAGTCCTATCTGGCCCACTTAAGTTTATGTACTAAGCTTGAAGTCGATCGCTTAAGGGGTTTAAAAGTTAGGCCTAAAGAAATATTTGTAAAATTGACTTTTCAAGAAAACCACCCATGTTTACATGATTTTATTTTTTATTGTTTTGACCTAAGGAAGTAATAGGGTACCGGTACACATTCCATATAGCCTCTAGGCTATATATAGGCCTAAATAAGAAAGTAGCCTAGCGTTTTTGAAAAATAAAACCGCTCCCGGGTCTATGTCCATGCCACCTACAGTAATAAAACTCCAAGCTCTATATTAATCACAAGTCATTTCATTTGGTTCCAGAATAAGTTAGTTAGTTGGTTGAATAGATGACAAGTCAATAACTAATGTACAATTAGATTGTCAATAACCTACTGTAAGAATAAGAATAAGAAAGTTTGTAATCGCTTGCCAGAATAAGCTATCCTAAGTAAATGTGTCGGAGAGAGGGAGAGAGTCATTAATATGATAGTACACCTTAGCCAGTACCAGAGATTGGATTATTTTTTTAATTATTGTAAGGCCGGCGCCACACGATCCCGTTTCGCTGGTCCGGTCAAACGGGACCTGTTTGGCGGGATGATTCGAACTCATGGGTTTTAATGGGAGCGGTCACATCGTTGCATTTGTACTTCGACGGGATCCTCCGCATGGTACTGCGGCGCAGCGGGACCGGTAGACAGGATTAAAGTCAAAATACATTCAGTTAAATGAGAGCAGCCACACTATCCTGTTGTGCCGCGTGTTTATCATTTTTGACTGGACAAGTTTATTGAATGTGTCCACGATCAACCTGCACTTTGCGATAAACACCTGTCAAGAGTACTCTGATAGGAATGAACGAGAGAAATGTTGGTCTTGGAATTCTTCGTTAAATGTGCCCTCAAAATCTGCAGCAGCTCATTAAAAGATGTGATGGACATTTTATAATAATTTAAAAACTTGCAAGAATATTGCCCTAAACTTTTATAAAAACTCTTCATCTCTATTATTTTCGAATGAAAATGGTGTACGCAATTACGCCTAAGAAAAGGTTTCCATTGCAACAAACAACTTCAAAGAGCACAGACAAATAGAATAGGACAAGTGTGACAGGGCAATGTCACATACTGCTCAGCCGCATCTCGCTAAACGGGATAGTGTGACAACCGGAGTAACAGTCAGTGTCTTTTATTCTAATTAGTAATTTACTGTACATGGTATTTTTCCAAAATAATGTGTGGTGAATTTTCTAAAGAACTTAATTGATATTTCTATTTCTCGTATTGTAATTATGAAAATGGGTCTTCTATTAGGTTATTAAAACTGCAATTTGAACAAAACTTTAACACATATAAATATATAATGGAGACAAAGTCTAAATATTAAGTTTCTTAAAATAACGTTACAAGAAGTTCTTGGTTTGCATTAAGGCATAATGTTCAAATACTCTGAATAGCCACCCCAAAACTCAACACCAGGCCTGCATTAGGCCTACTAGAGCATGATGCACTGCAAATTTGTACGGTAACTTGGTGTAACTCCCCAATAGTAAGGCCTATACTAATGATATTTTGCCAATTCAACTCATCCTTCAATTCTAAGTCAAGTATTTTTTTCTAAGACTATTGACTAATTACTGTTATTAAAATTTACTTTAGGTCATCTTGCACCCGACTGTGTACGGTCTTTAAACATTTTCCCCTACAGGGGAAAATTTTAAATAGTTAACTTATAGTTAGGTCTACAGCAAAGGTTGATATATTTTCAAAATTAAAACTAGGAGTTTCCATCCTGAAATCGTTACATGAAGGCCTAAAGAATTTACATTGCCTTTCAAACACATAAAAAATACTACCTCCTGCAAGGGTATTTAGTTACAAAATATTGTCTTCTTTTGAAGATTAATTTTGTTTATAAGCCTAAATTTAGTATGTTTACCGCTATGAAAAGATGTTATCTCTTGTACTTGGTTCAAAGGCTGAGGTCAGATAACGCTTGAAAAGTTGGTTAAATAATATTAACATTACACGATCAATATATGAGTGACAATTAACTTTAGTGCTCCAACTAAATCAATTAATCATCAACCTGTGCAAGGGATATTGCTTGTATAGTTACAGAAGCAGTTAGACATTTTTAACTAGGCTAAAGTTTCTAACAAAAATATTTTCCCACTTAGTTCAATATTACTAGGCAGTTAAACCTTTGTATAGGTAACCTGAAGTTGCCTTCAATTGTTTTTTTTTCTTGACACATGTAAATGCCAATTGTTCAATGTGATTGCCCCTTCTCTTTGCTGTACTCTGATAATATTTTCAGTTATTACAATTAAATTGGTAGGCCTAAGTCAGTATCGTGTCGGACTGTAAAACTAAGGCAAGGATGTCAATATCGTAAGTTTGCATCTCAGTGCCAAAATGTAATTTATCAGTAGGCCTACACTAGCAGGGCGTCCTGATCCGGGGGTACGGAGTTGGCAAAAATATTTATATCATATAAATCCAATAATTTTTCTACTATTTATACAAATACAGTATCTATCAAAATATAATTGGCGTAGTGTTAATTTAGAAAACCCAGGGACAGAGCCTAGATTAATTCAGACAATGGCTATAGAATCTTGCTTAGGCTTATTTCCTTAATTAATGCCCATCATCTCAAAATTATAAACCTGCCACATGGTTTTGCTGAATATTACATTTTATTTGTTTAAGTCAGCTGTGTAGCATTAAAAAATGAACAAGTTTGACAGTTCTGCTTGTTTATATTGTTGAGATGCCATAGCAAATGTGAACATTGTGAGTTTTCTAATTGCAGCCGTGCAGACGAATCAATATTTACTTTTATAATCCTCACCTCAGAACTTTGAAAGCCCAAAACGGAATAGTCCTAAACGGATTTGTCGTATAGTAGTTATAGGTATATTTTTATTTTTATCGAATTAAGCCCAATCAGTTCAGTAGTTTTTACCTGATTGAGTAACACCCACATAGGCGGACACCATTGCATTTTTAAATAATCGCATAGAAGTATACTGGTAGAATACATTTTAACTGTTACATGCTCAAATAAAAGAATGTTTGATCCAAATAAAAGAAGCATGAATTATTTTTGTTTGTACAAGTTTACAGTAGACTCCCTCTTATCTGGACACCTTTTAACCAGACATCGGTTTATCCGGACTACACTCGGCGGAAATGACATCTCTTTAACCGGACAATTTTCATCAGCACATTGGTTTAACCGGACTAGATCGGCAGGAAGTGGGCAGTACTGAAACGTATGTTCTCGTGGGAAAGATTTAAGACCAGTGATCACGTGTCTTAATACAATGCTCTCCTAAATTAAATTTAAGTCAAATATTACAGTAAACAGTCCGTTTCAACGAGTTTTTGGACGTCGGTTTAATCGGAAAACCTGTTATCCGGACTGGCCTCGGTCCCGAGGAGTCCGGATAAGAGGGAGTCTACTGTATATCATTCAACTTGTAGTAAGTTTTTCTAATTAAAGTTTGTAAGATCCACTTAACTTTCAGGTTTGGCGAGAACAAAGGTTCGTACTGTACATTGGCGTCATTTAATGACAAAGAGAACCTGATTGAGGTGAGTGAAGAGATCAAGGAGTTGTTGGACGGAGATATAAAAGACATTGTGACACCAAGTGAGAAACCGGAGTCACCGGTGCCGACAGAGCCCAAAGTAGAGGACAAGGAGGAGAAGAAGACTGTGGAGACTGTCACAGCCGAGACTCCTGTCAAAGACACCAAGCCACAGGTGGGTTCCACTAAATTACCACTAATTTTATTTTAATGATGGTGTTTGATTGGGGACGTTCTAAAACGGACCCAAGTTAAAATATCCAACGAATTTTCTGCAGAGATTCACGTCTGCTTGCGAAATATTTAAAGATTTCCTGGTTGGTCTAAGTTAATTAGACTACCATAGTATTGTTCTTGTTTTCTTATAATGCACATTATAAATAGGCTACTTAACAGGGCTACAGGGCTACTAAATTGGGTAAGGTGTATTTTGTATTTATTTGTTGTATTTTTGCTAAACTTAAACCTCAATCATAATTTTAATTATCAATATAAAAGTAGTTTTTACCTAGTAGCTGCAGACTTGGCTTTCATTTTTAGCCACTTGCATTAGAGTTCTGCGGGCCAGATTTTTTTTTGCCTGGTTGACTTTTGAGTATTGGCCCAAATTGAGTTGCTTAGGAGAGCATTGATAAATATATTACGTACTTGTCATCCCTAAACTAGTTCATAAAATATTGTACATTATTTCCTGCAGTCGTTTAGAAATCGTGGACATCTTTCCCGGTCTTAGCAAAATAATATAATAGCGAAACCGTGGCACGTCAACTTATGCCGCGGTTAAGGGGTTAAGTGAGTAGGCTGTAGGCGCTACAGCCTATAATTCTATGGAGAAAAGTATGGGCGGCAACAAAATTTACAATGAAATGCCACAAGATATGTGCCAATCACTTAGCCTACATGTTCTGAAAATATTGTTTATTAAGGACCCTATTTTAAATTTCCTGTCAAACTCTTACTTGATAAAATTTAATTAAAAATTAAAAGTTATGTGTAAAAGTGTTACTTCATGACTTACTAATTGTGGCGTAGATAGAATTTAGAAAATATTTACCACGGTCGTAATGTTAAAAATTTGTTATATGTGTTAATTTGTAATGTGTTACAATGGTTATGGACCGGTAAAACGAGCTGTGTCACTAAATTGTCTAAGTCGTAGCCGGTAGTCGTGGTCATTAGTATGTGAAAGATATTCAACACAAATGTTCTTTATCTATCTCTACAAGGCCTAGTGATAGGGTAATGGTGATGGTTATTTGTCAACATAAAAATGGGCACTTTAGAAATGTGTCTCTGATAAGCTATTTAGAATCATTAAATTTTCTAATTAATTACAAATTATGTTTATTTCATTTTAAATATGTCATTTTTATATCACTTTATATCAGTAAATAAGCCTACAGTGACGGGGAAATTTGATACAAGCTGTAGTCACTTATGGGTGTTCATTTTATCTTGACCCCATAATTTTGCTGAGAGAGACTTCACATTAATGTTATTGACCATCAGATAAAACTTAGCTACTTTAATATATTGACTGTAAATCCCAATGTTTTTTGGTGAATTTGAATTCAATTACAACTTCTTAAGATATTTATTCTTTGAGATATTTTTCTAAAACAGTCGTTTTGGAGCGCTTATTTTATTTTGGACAACCTATTTTGTTTCGGTATATCAACGGTTGGATTTTAAAGGCTATTCTGTCCAAAGAGATCTACAACAGTAATTTTTTTTTCAATTTTCAAGTTTGAGCTTAGAGTGGATATATCAGTTTTGGGTCCCCCTGGACCAAAAAAACCAAAGTGGTTTTGGAGTGACGTCTGTGTGTGTGTGTGTGTGTGTGTGTATGTCTTTAAGCATGACATATTGCTGATACCGTTTATTATTTACTGTAATTTATAAATCTACAACTTTTTACTTCAATTTTTTACTATGGTTTTAACTTTTTTTTCTAAATAATATTTTGATGCTACTTATTTTCCATTTAATCTCGCAATTGTTTTGGATAAAGCCTCTTTAATATCGGCTTCCTACATTTCAAATAGAAGTACTGGAACAGGATTTTTTTATTTGCTGGCATACACACGATAGTAATTGTTGTATGGGAGGGTAGAAGTCATGGAGCAGTATTGACCTATGATGCGTATGTGTAAAATGATAAGTCCATCATGGCACCACAGCGAATTTTTTGAGTTCCTGAAATACAATCCTCTGGTAGATAATTAATTTGAGTACAACGGTACAGGGTGTTTATAAAAAAACTGATCGATTTTAAACAGTCATCGCTCTTTTATTTTTCATCACAATTTTTTAAAATTAATGTTAAATTAAAGACAATTTTCTTAAGTTTACGATGACACATTCACACTATCTTATTTCTACATGTTTTCCATTATTAGCTCTTAATAATCAAGTCTCTGTTCGAGATCTGCCCAAACTCGCCGCATCATCGGAACATCAATTTCATCAAATGCTTCTCTGATCTTTTGCTTAATTTCTTCCAGGCTGTTGACTTTGTTGGAGTAAACACGATCTTTTACAAACCCCCAAACAAAAAAATCACATGGGGTTAGTCTGGCGACCTTGGTGGCCAAGGTATGGGTCCGTCACGGCCAATCCAACGATTTGGGAAAGGTTCGTCGAGACAGTCACGAACAAACCGTCTCCAATGAGGTGGAGCGCCATCTAGTTGTAGCATCATGTTCGGCTGCTCATTTTCAAACTGTGGAATGGCAAAGTTTTCCAACATATCCACGAAACTGGTCCCATTGATATTTATTTCGGCAAAAAAGAAAGGGCCGATCAATCTGTTGCAAGATAAGGCGTACCAAACATTCACCTTCTCACTATCCCTAGTATGATCCTGGTGAAATGAGGATTCTCAGATCCCCATATCCTGACATTGTGTCTGTTCACCTTCCCTGATACATGAAACGTAGCTTCATCAGAAAAAAATATCCGGTTTAAGAAGTTATTGTCAGTTTCTAAACGGTCAAGCATTGTAACTGCAAATTCTCTGCGTCTGGCCCAGTCTTGTCGCGTAATCTTTTGAACTATCTGTAACTTATAAGACCGAAAATGCAAAACTCTTTTTAACACTTTGTGTAGAGTGGAATGCTTAACATTCAACTCTCGAGCTGTAGATCTAGTTGATTGTCTCGGATTATTAAGAAATGATTGATGAATTCTTTGAACATTTTCTTCACTTATCCTTGGACGACCATTGCCTTTTCTGTGATGTATGCTCCCACGGGTCATGAACTTCTCATACCATCCTTTTAACGTGTTCTTTGAAGGAGGATTTCCGTTAAATCTCCTTCTAAATCTACGCTGAACAGCAAGAGGAGACTTAGTTTCTATTAACCACTCGACACACTGCGTCTTCACTCGAGGATCCATTGTAAAATGTTACTTATTTGTTTTTGTTTATCACACAACAATGTAAGAAGGTACTGCTAATAAAAACAGCTGATTATAAAATTTTTTGAGTTTCCCTAACAAATAATGAAAACTAGAGGTTTCTACCTCTAACACGGAATGAGTGAGACAAAGTTAAAATCGATCAGGTTTTTTATAAACACCCTGTATATATACAAAAAAGGAATATGGAAACAGTTAGGCAAACTTTGTTTTGTAGCCCAAGCCGGTTGGCAGGAATTGCTCATGAATTAGAGCAAACTTTGTGAATCAGTGTGAACAGTTTTGAAAAAAGACTAGATAACTAGATGTGCATAACTCAGATGCTACAAGTATGAGATTGTAGGCTGCAAGAAAACTGCTCATAATGCTAGTGATGCTTGAGGAACTAGAAAATGCAGTTATGCGTGATGAGAATCACTTTCAATTAAATGGTGCTGTTAACAGGCAAAACCTATTAGGCCAGTTAGAGCTCAGATGACAGGGTAAAGGTTATCGGTGATGGAAAATGTATGCAATAATCCGTCAAATAATGTTTTCTCACTACAACCAGAATAACTGTAGAGATTCTCATTTATATTTTAAGTTACACATTTTGTATTAAAATCTGCTAAAACGTTTGTTCTTTTCTGTTTTCTTTTAGACAACTCCGTTGGCGACCAACAACTCACGTCAGTCTCAGCAACATCATCAGCATCACCACAATAACAACCGTAAATGGGTGCAGACCAGTCCTAAACAGAAGTCTGGTGTGAGGCGGGGTGGTTACCCTCCACACCCCCACCACGCTCCATGGTACAACATCATCTCTCCTCACTGGATGTCTCCTTCCCCCCCGCCGTACCATCCTATGTTGCGTCGTCAGGGAGCCCCGCTGCCACCCCACCCTCGCTACCATTGGCCCAACAAGTCTATGCTCAAGGTTTAATCTCTACTATTCGACATATAAGTGTACACCTCTTTAAAATCACCGTGTCTTCAGGAATGAGTTTTGATAGTTTTGCCTCCTCTCTTATTTAGATTTGTGGAAATCATTATGTTTTTCTTTTCAGTGTTTACGTATTAATAAACAGAAAAATGTGATTTTAAAGAGCATTTTTAGCTGTAGGCAAATAGGATTAACTCACTGCCAGCGAGATAACATGTAAGGTCGTCTGCAATGCTTTTCCATTCTTTGTCATCCCCCCCCCCTGATTGTACATAGTAGTTTAGGATTCGTACTTACGGCAGTAGTTGTTTCTTAGGCATTTCGTGACTGCACAAAATTGTGTGATAACCTCAAGAGTAGTGCCACTAGAATCGAGATGAAGCTTAATGTTAATATGATACCTGTGATAATTTTTCTCTCATACTCTTTTTAGATACAAGTCCTATTTTCCCTTTCAGAATCCTGTTTTACTACTAACGGGATTGATAAAAATGCCAGTTACTACTTTTGCAGTTACAATCGGTTTTTAATGTTCAGCGCAATATATTTCAGATGTATAAAACTGTTTTGCTCAAAGTTAGATAAAAACACACAGGCTGGAGTGTTACCTAGATACTGTAAGAAGTTTGCTGGGTAGAAGAACATTTGGAGTTAGATATAACATCGTTAGTACCCTAAGAAACTTTAGTAAAATTCCTTACGCAATATTTTATATTTAATCATCATAAATCATCAGTTTAGGTATTTCATACCTACAAATGTGTTGCTAGTATTTAGTGGATTCCATAGCATATGCATTGATGTTTAGGATTTAATTTGATCATTCGTTCTCAAATAATCAGGAAATAATGTTATTTACTCTTCATTTAAGAATTGTTGTTCTGATTTTTTATGTTATATCATTATTGTGTTAATAAATAAGTAATTACCTAAGATGGATTTAGTACTTGTATCAGTAAACAGGACTTGATCTCTAGTAGTGTTCTTTGTTAGCGTTTCTTGACTATTGCAGATGGAACCTATTTGCCTACGACTCATTCCATCCACGTCGCTTATTATTGCTATGTACTCGTGTTTCTAGTTGCAAGGCTTAAGCTACGAATTTGTGAAATTCCCATTTTTCTGCAATGCAATGTAACATAGAAGATGGTGTTATCCTGATTTAGATTATACAATAAATGTGCATTTACCTGCAGATGAAATTGATGTTTCTGAAATTTTTGTCTTAAATTTAGTCAACTCTATTTGAGTCCTATTTGTTGTAAAGGAAATTAGCCTAAATTGCTTCTTTAGTCGTTTTAAGAATTTTAGTTATGTATGATTTATGGTATTATTGGATTTTGTTATGTTCACATAGTTTTTATAGTTGTTTTGGTAGTAAGATTTATCTTAACTTTTTAATGGATAATGTTCAATTTTGCTGAGTTTGATATTGTTTATGGATTTGGGTTTATGTTGGCATGTTAGTCAATTTAGCTGTTCTACATTCATTATCTAAGGTTTACATCAACACCTCAACTTGGGTTGGATTTTTTGTTTCCCTTAATATTACTTTTTGCGCAATATTTTATTTTAGTTTGTTAAGATAAAAAAGTTCTTAAAAGTTTTGATCTCATTTTTAAAAGTTTAAATCAGTGGAATTGCTTTTGCTATATGATCACCTTAAGTTGGGACAAAGATGTAAACTGCCTCTTGGAAGAACTATTTGCTAGGACTCAGAACCAATTGTAAATAGGTTTTAACGTGTAAAATAGTAAAATATTTGTTAATAATGTCCATTTAAAAATCAAATGTGTCCTTGGATTTTAAATAAATATAAGTTGTACTGATTTCTTGCTGTAAATAAATTGTTTGGTCAAAAGATATACAAGATGTCTATAAACTGGATGGATTGATCTAAAAGAAAAAATTGTTTAAGGTCATGTTGCGATGAGATATTCTGCTAAATTGATGGTTGAGTTTGGGAGTTTTGTTTGTTTTCTTGCTGTTAAATTTGGTCGATATCATAAAACATAACTTAATTCAGGAATTTTTATGTTTCCCAATTTAAAAAATATATTCATCTTGTAAATAATATATTTTTAAGATGACTAGAGGTTACCGTTTGGTTGAAAACTCTTTTTTCTTTATAATTTTTATAGGACAGTTTTAATAAAAGTTTGATATGGTGATTGTTTGTAAATATTTTTATTTCAGGCTGAAAACTTTTGATAGCAAACAAACGCTTTAAACTCAAAACTATGCTGTTGAGCAGAATTGACGGTCATGTTGCGGTAGAATTCTTTATTAGCCATTGACATTGTATATAATATATGTGTCAGCAATGGTCAATGAACCAACAATTAACAATAGCAAACAAGTCACAAAAACAGCACAAATAAACTTATAATAAAACACAATGTTCTTTTCTTTAAGAAAATCTTGATGTATTTTATGATTTTAAATTAAATTATTTATCTCCAATTTGACTATACTTACTGTATGTAAAAGTAATTTAAAAAAAGGAAATTTCCATGAAAAAAGTAAAGTCTAAAGTGTGTGTACCCTTTCTGGAGTAATTGAAGTGACTCCCTTTTAATAGGCTTAAATAGCTCACTTTTTATTTAAGACCAATTAAATTTACTTATTCTGCAATGCTACTTTGATCAAAATGTTGTAGACATAAAGAATTAAACCTTTGATAAATTGGCAATGATTTTCACAGAGGCGCAACCTATTGTACAAATCCATCCAGTGTATAGACATTGGATACAATATAGCTTTTACAAGTTTTAAATTTCACCATATTATTATTTGTGGTATAAATATTGTATAAACAATATTATTGTATGTTAAGATTACGTATACTTTGATTGCATCATTATGATGGTTTTTAATATATTGGTATATTGTATGACGAGTTTTCTTGTCTCGTCACAAAGTATTATTTTCTCGTCTGAGCGTTGAACGCAGACACAGTGTTGCTTATTGACATAACATAATGTAAGTTTTGTTTTCTGCAGAGGTTTGTCATTTTAAATGATAATAGTTGACTTTGCTGTTCAATGTGAATAAAACAAATTTAGAGGGGATTGAAAAACATATACTTCTTTGTAATTGCTGTTTCAAGTTGAAAATTACATACTTTTTTTATTTAGGATCGAATACCAAGTTAAAATTTGTCACTAGGCCATAAAGATGCTCTTTACGAGACAATTTCAACTGTAACGTTGAAAAATTATGTGTAGCCGAGGCTAGAAAATTAGCGAGTAGAAAAGGCTTTGGTTGTGTGACAAACTATATTTTTTCCTTACTGAATCATTCTTTCAGCTAACTAATTCACAACTAATTTTGTTTAACTAGTTTCCTAATTAAACACTTTTGTTTTGCTGCATAAACAAACAGAATCTGATGTTCACAATTCATTCAGTTATTTGGCCTGTTTTGGTGGAAAATGAACACAAATTTATTTCAATGCCAATATGATAATACATTTATAATCGAAAGTATTTTCTTTATCAAAATCAGTTTAGACAAAGTTTACAAATGAGGAAAAATTTACATCTGATTTCCTGGACTCCAGCCATAGCCTCCTCTGATACAGGGCCGCGGTGAGACACAAGTGGCAATGCTGCAGATCCGGCATACTGAAACAGCTGTTATATTAATTCATAATGGAGCGATACACAATGTTTTTGTTTACAAGTTTGTTATTACCATGGCGATAGGCATGCTGGTGCGTTGCCACACACCAACGCGCAGCTATGTATTAGAGGAGGCTATGCTTCAGCCAATTATTTTTCACTATCACAAGTTAAAAAACAGCTGTTTTGCAGTGTGACCTAGTACTTATGCTAATAACATTGGAAGGGATTAAAATACACAGTTATTACGTTTCTATCCCCTCAAAACACACATACAGGTCAAAATTAAAGGTCAAAACTAACATTTAAAGGCATAACTCTTTTTACACTTTAATTAGGATCTGAAATGTGTTGATTTGAAAAAAATAAAAATAATTTTACTAAATGCCATGTAATTAAATTTCTGAAAGGTAACTTACATTATGACCTTAAGGATTACTTGTTTATAAGTTAAAACCTTTTATTTATACATAAAAAAATCATTTTTCTACGTTAAATGTAGTATAGATTTTTAGTAGTGTCTCAAGAACACGTTAAAATAGTTTGATTTCGTAGTTATCGTCGATTTTCGTATTTTTAACCTAAGGCAATTTAATTCGTTTTTAAATATTTTAAGAAATTGTTTTATTTTTTCCTTTTTGAACATATGTGTTTCTTATAAAAAATAAGTAAAAGTTTTATTTGACAGATTTGCTAACAAGACCCATGTGCTACAAACCTCTGCGGAAACAATAAAAATATTTATCTCACATGCACTTTCCGCAATTTTGGATTGTTGTGGTGATGCTGCCACTTTCTTGACCACTTCCTTACTGCAATTCCATATTATTATGCATGGCTCTTTTAATTTGCTTTTACAAAGGTGTATAATCATTTATTTACAAGTCATACAGTTAATGGTTATCACGTTTCTTTATGGGGTAAGATTCATTTTAAATTGTATATACGCATTATTGTAATATTTAATGTATTAAGTCTAGTATATTATGAGACGAAGGCAATCTTAGATTATCTAGGGCTGTTGATGGATATTTCTCCGCTTGGACAAGCGGAGCGATGTTGTTGTCGAAGGTGGTCATCGTTGGCGCACAGTGTTGTCGACTCGGTTGATATCACTTGTGTGGTGGACGGGAGGAGTCAAGTTTATAAGTGGTGGTTTTATTTACTCCAAACGTTTTTAGAACTGTTTTTGATACTTCAAAAAGGCTTAGGCGAGTTGTTTATTTCTCACTTTTTACTAGGTACATCCGTGAGTAATTTTTTGAGTTTATTAATTTTTTATATGGGTGGAAATTCTTCTGTTAGTCATCTTTATTTGGTTTGGTATTATCTTACGGTTAATGTTGATGTTTTTAATACATTTTCCTAGTTATGATATTATAGTTAATTGATTTGCATCTTAATTTTATAATTTCTATTGTTATTTGGAGATTTTCATTGTATTGTTGTGGTGCGAAGTAATCAAAAGGTGCCTGACTGAAATTCTAATTTTTTACATCACAAACTCAAGCACATGTTGATAGTTGAGGTTATCTGCTATCGGTCTGTAGGCTATCAAATTTCTCCTTTTTGCTTAACAAGGAAATTTAATAATTGTAGGCACGCTTGTAAAATAGATTGGCTTAGTTATTCTTCTCTCGCTTTGTCTAATAGTAATGTACGTGCAGAGGAATTATTTGTATTTTGAATTATAGGAAAATCTATTGGGATCAAATTAATTTTTTTAGTTACTAGTGCAATGATGTGTCGGCTGATTTTAGACTCAAGTTTATTGTCCTCCCCTGCTAGTTTGCCTTCAGATTGTTTAGTGATAGATTAGCTTAGATTTATCTTTAAGATTGCCCGAGCACAAATGTTTTCCTAATGTTTGTAGAAGAGAAACTGTGATATAATTTCTATTTAATATACTTTAATGTGTTTTCCTATCGAGTAGAGAGAAAGTTACCAGTTAAATACTATTGGCCACCGGACTCCGAGCTAGGTGTCGTGTGACTTAAGATTGCTATTGATGTCACTACGATTTTTAACACAAAAATAGTTCTATTTTTGTACTTTCTTACCAAATAGAAAAATCTTATAATTTTTATGTTATAGAAAATGTAATCGTTTTAATGTAATTTAGGATCGGAGAGAGATAATTTATTAGATTTTAATATATTAAATGATTACAATAAATGCTGTAATTTATATAAAGCCAGTCTTTTTTATTTATCTTTATTACTTACATGTGGTCAAATAGCTGTTGTATTGGTTCTGTCTTTACCAACACTTTATGTAATTGACTAACTGTTATTATATTGGTGTAGTAGATGAATAATAATTATTAGTTTTGCATCATAACTTGTGGTTTTATTCCATCTCCTGATAAAACGGAACAAAGAAAATGTTTTAATTGCTAACATTCGCAACAGTGTATAGTGTATAAAGTATAATAGAAACTAGTAATATGGGTGTACCAGTACTCTCAAAGAGCTGCAAATTTTTTGTGAAGAGGTATCTCTAAAATTAATAGTTTGTGGAAAAGAAAATTATTTAGAAGATCATTAAAAAAATTTAAAATGAGAGAGTGGTATGAATAAATGCATAGAACACTTCTATTAAATACAAGATTGTCCACGTGGGCGCCGGTCACTAAGGACCAGCTGCGGAACACGTGCCCAGGCTGGCGAGGTTCCCGCTGAAATAAAGCAGTAAGTGTGGCACAACCTTAAGGACCGTAGTTATTGCATTTGCGTTGCTAGCATTATATCTAAATACTATAAACCTATACTGTGTATGTATCGCCCACGGACCAGTGCCGGTCCCCGGTAGATTCAAACATGCAAAATTTATTGACTGGACATTCTTTTTTGTTTTTGCTTTTTATATGGCATAACTATATATTTTATTGTTTGTTATTTTAGTTTATGTGCCTTTTAATAAATATGGATTCCCCATACCATATTTTTATCAGCAGTTCCATGATTCACTGTTATTGAAATAAACACGGTTGGGAGGAAGGAAGGGACTGTACAATAATTGTAAATATTAGTTTAGTGCTATTTAACATTTCTAGTGTGAAAAACTGTGCTTGTGAGACCAAAAAATTTAGTATTTTCGTCTCAGTACCCACAAATTTCATTGCGCGGGCTAGCGATTTTGGACGTAATTTTTGTTGGATAAGACGGTTCTAAACACTATTTCCGACCTGGATCCTCACTTGAGGTTAAAGGGTAAGATTTCATGTAAAAATAATTGGGGAAGGACCCACTGATATTCTTACACAATATTCTTCCAAAATGTTAATCAAAATAAGTGACTTCCAAAATCAATACACTGCATAAAGCCTAATCTTAATTTGTTAAGATGACAATCAGTTCTGAATTACTTTCTGCCAGATATACAGGGTGGCTGAAAAGTAACTTGCACCCCTCCTCAACTAGATAACCATTTGAGATACCTAATTGAAGTCGGTTTGTGGCAACCATCTTAGATACTAGGGGCTGCAATAATAATTAGTAATATTGAAATTTTTGCCCTTAGTGGGGGTAGGGGTTAGCTCAAAATTTTCAAATGGGAAGTGTAGCCGATTTTGGTATCATTTCAAAGGTGACAAAACTAAAAAAAATGTCCAAGAAAACTAAAGGGCAACATTTTCAAAATCAACCATCATCATTGTAGCCCCTCATATCCAAAAAGGTTGCTGCAAACCGATTTCAATGATCATCTCAAATGGTTCAAAAGTTAAGGGGGGTGCAAGTTACTTCTCAGCCACCTGTATATACATCATGATGGTCTTAGAGGAGTATGAAATAGCTCTTAACTTAACACTTTTTTTACAAAGATGTATATTTGACAAGTAAACTGTACAAGTAAATATCACAACTAACAGAAATTGTTCACTACTTGGCAAGCACACCTGGTGGAAACATTTTCCAAAGTGCTTTTAATAAGTTTCAAAGTCCTGCAAAGTATACACTTTATTAGATTACGATGGGCATTTAGGGTTCCACACTTCAAGCTTCTCCATAAAGGCGAGAACTGAAATGTCTGTTGTAGTCCAATCTAAGAAGCAACAGGCGAAGTCCAGAGGCTTTGTTCCCCAGCACAGATATTAAGTTCATCAGTATACCAACATTCTTGTCCAGTCGGAGTGTTATTTGCTCAAAATTCTTCTCTCTCATTTCTTCTCTTGCAATTTCATCACAAAAATTATCACAAAGGTGAAGAATGTTCATCAGGCATTTGTTCACCTAATGGAACAGAAACATTCATTATCGAAAGAATTTAATTTCAAAAGTAAGCTATTATGGAGTTTTTGGAGGGAGAAGGTCTAGAGGCTTAGGCTACGATCACATTGGACGCACGCTTGCGCAAGCGTATTTTTAAGTTTTTTATTATTGGATGAGCAAGATATTAGGAACGAGTGGTTTGTGGACTGAGAAGAAGATGAAGAATATGCTCAAATCTTCAACGACATGCTTAGACAACCTGAGAAGTTTTTCCGGGACTTCAGAAAGACGCCAGAGACTTTCTATTACATACTGGACAAATAACACCTACACTAAGCAGACAATCTAATTTTTCAGGCAAGAATTTCCGTATCCATAGTACAGCACATCACTTTCACTTGAACCAATGTCAAAGAATCAACTGAACTCTGAACTGAGAACCTGCTACTTGCGCATGCTTGCAACTACAAAACAAATATTTTTGTTTCGGCGGGGGGTAAAGATGAATGAAGATGTTTTGAATTGGATTGAGTCCAAGCAAGTGTGCACTTGCTGGTGACGGACAATGCACAAGTCACCACTTAAACAGGTGTTAAAATTTCAGAATAATTACTGTAAACCATTTTAGAAATTATGAAAAGAGATCTTGGCTTAATGGTAATTCAGTGAAGTTTTTTTATACTTACAGGGTGTCTTGTAGATGGTTGATCTTCCTGTAAATTAAAAGAATTTGTTACTACATTTTTACTATGTAAACCACAGACAAGTAGGCAGATGAACCTTTGTGTTTAGATGTTTTCAATCCAAAGAATCTGATGATTTTCTTTTCAATCACTTTCAACAATGCAATGTGTTTTAGAATACAGTAGAAACCCTTATATCCGCCATCCGGCCATCTTGAAACCGAACCTCGGTCGGATAGTTATTTTGGTCACACAAACTAACCACATTTTGTGAATTTACAAAAACTAATAATGTGATCAAAGGCCTTGGTATAGGTCGGCCGGACAGATAGCGACCTGCGTGAGGATCCATCTAAGCGGCCAACCAATAGTGAAATATGCATAAGCCAATTAAAAATATAAAAATGGAATAGGACCTACAACACTTACCTTGGCGGGGTGGATATCAACAAAACACTCTGATGTGACGGAGCTGAGGAAAACACTGTGGAGGTGGATCACTTGATGGAAGTCTTGCGTTCGGTCCAACTCTGCGCAGAGACGAGAGAAGTGACACGTGATGACGTCTTGGTGTAGGTAGCATTGCAAGTTGCCGACCAGGTAAAGTAGCATGTTGTGCAACGACCACACATTGGGTGGTAACCTGTCCACGAGGCAAATGTATCAGTTGTAAATCTTGTGTGATAGGCTGGGTCAACAGGGTAAAATTTGTGTGAAATATATGTAAAGATTTACTATTCTTCCTGGACTCAGGTGTTTTAAAATGGCTTCCGGATATGTAACACCTTGATTGAACTGGAACTGCTGATAGGTCAATAAATTATCAATCAAACCATAAGTTGTGTTTGACTTGGGCGTAAGGTCAATAAAAATAACTGGTTATATTCAGTGGTGGGCAGCTGCCTTTGCCCCTCCTAGTGTCAGTGGAACAATAGAAAAATAGTCTAAAATTTCAATAATTGTTATGAATTATCTAATCCCAATTACTAATAATTTTTGCTTTGACCAGGGAAATGGATTTCTTTTCCTAAATGAAACCTTTAAAAGGAAAGTGTCATTTTATTAGGACTCTGATTTAATTTTTAACTTTTTTTCTGGAAAAACTCTGTTTCTCAAACTCTGTACCCTTCAGGTCCATATTACACATAGTTTGTGGGACTGTACTGTATATAAAGATCACTTGCCTTGTGTCCTTCTTCTTTACAATTTCCAACCAAACGTGATGCAAGTTCAGTTCGGCCATCTTGACCTGCAGAAGGAAGTTGAACAGTTTGTCGTAAACGTCCAACTCGTCAGCTTTAAACAAGAGATGAAGTGGCCAGGGGGGCTCATAATGCAGCGTCATCTGTTTCCAAACTGTGGCTGGAAAATAATTCCGCATTAAATTAGGATTTATCGTCTACAGAAAATATTGAAGTCAAGGTAAGATAAAAACAACTAATTTAGATGTTGGACTTAAGCACTAACACAAACTGTTACCTAAAACATACCTCTTGTTACATCCCGTTTCAATAACGTTTAGATATTTTTAATAGATAATTATTTTTATTATTTAGTTGTGTTGAACACAACACGAGTTGTTAGGCTACATTACTACATAAATACCAATGTAGTGTTTCTCCTTAACTTTTAACATTATCAGCTGTTATCTAGCTGTGCTGTTTATTTAAAGTCCAGAGACCTCGGACAGCTGGGACAAGTTTTGAATTACGCCTTCAGGTTCGAGCCAGTTACCTTCTCTAGGCAAGCATCATAATTAGTTATCCTTGTGTATGAGTATAGGTTTGGCACCTTAAAACCCACGTGTAGGATATTTATTATGATAAATTAATTTATACTTACAGTTCGGTTGAGCCATTGGATGTTTGTCTTTCAACGGGACCTTGAATGAGAATTTGTCAACAATCGTGTCACTATTCAGATTGACGTTTCGAATGGACATGTGCAATATATTGTTCAGATCTGAAAACATTAAACTTTAGGTAATGTGTATTCAAAATAATCACACCATTGATTTTTTTATAGTGAAGTAGACATCTCTTCCATATGGACCAGCTCTAGCCAATTTTATATTTGAAAAAAAATTTACAGCCGAAGATTCTAAGTTTACATTCCTGTGTGAAACTTTGATACTTTATATTAGCGTTTCTGAACCTCAGAGGTAAGAGCGCTCCAAGAAATATAATAAATAAAGCTAACATAAGAGAATAATATAGAACTAGTGTACCTGTTGCTCGAATTCGAGCAATTTAAAGTATTACAGGCGTTATTTTAAAACCAATAACAGTCATAATTTCTGGTGATATTTTTAAAAGATTCGACTCATAGATTATGGAAATACTGAAGATGTATATAACAGATCAATATCATCAAAATTTATTTTAAATAGTGTTTTCTACGAATAGCCTTTTAGGTTAGGTATTGGTACAGAAACAAAAAAGAGTGAATTATTGTTGATCCTGCGTTCTGTCAGTGACTGCAGTCTTCTAATAACTACCACCAATATCAGGAATTTCCAGCTTTTTTAAGGTTAGGTTAGGTTAGGTTAGGTTTAGGTATTGGTACAGAAACAATTGTGGCTTGGCAGGAAAAGCAGTCGACGGCAGCTTTAGAAGACCGCAGTCATTGATCGGGCACAGGGACAAAATAATTCCCTTTTATCCCCAATCCTCTAGCTACTACCTGGCCGGGTGCTCGGGGCAGTTTCATCGTTTCAAAAGTACCCAAAACGTCGGGGCAGTTTCACTACGCCCAGCCTAACAGCACGACTCCCTTCCCCATACTGCCCTGAGCGATAGGGATCATTGAGATTTGCTCTAACCTTTCCTCTCCCCTTCATTGGCAAGTTTTCATTCCTTTTCTTTCTTAGTTTTTGTTTGTATATATTTTTTAATTTTAACACCTGTATGTATCCCTGGTTTTTCCTATTTCCCTAGCTACTTTTCTAAACGTCTCAATTGTTTCCTTGTCACTCATCATGTTTTATTTTCTCATCTCTAGACCTATCTTATCCAAGACTTATCTATTTGTCTCCTGAAGTGAACAAACTATAAATACGTGACTCGTGGTTTTATTTCTCCACATCTATATACTTCCTCTTCCACCATGTGAAATCTTCACAAATTCACCTTGAAATTTTCCATGTCCTGTGACAGACTATGTTTCATAATGGCCCATGTCCTAATCTTCTTCCAGTCTCTTTCTGGTGTTAGGTATATATCCGAACGTTTGCCTTAACGTTAAAACACTCTGCTTCCAACGCATTTGCCACTCATCTAATATCTCCTGTCTTCTGTTTCCGATGTAGTCCTACCAGCCTCCTTGTCTTCCAAAATCAACAGCTTATGCAGCGATTATCCAACAGTCCTAAATTGAATGTGAAATCTTCAGGCGGCTGTTGGAGAGCACACTTAAACCCAACGAAAAGGAAGGGTGCTTAATGTATTCGGCTATTAACGACAATTATTTGTATTTCGTTCGCGTCTACCAATTAAAGTTCGTAGGCCTCCTCCTATTGGCCGTCCTGGTAAACCTCTTATAGTCTTCTTTATGTCGAACGTTTTTTTTGGTTATGTTTTGATTTTATGCAAAATTTAAAAAATTTAAAACCTTAAAAAAATTATTATTTATTGAAAACCAGCTGTTTCAAATATTAGTGTCAATTTCAAAGTATTCATCTGTTTAAATGTAAACAAACATATTCTCCCTAAGAATAACATGGGAACTTTGAAGGCCACTGAGGCAGAGCCCTGAAGGACTTCCAGTTTTTTTGTTTGATGACAAAACTACATGCTAAGACCTTTCTAACGACACCTTGGACATGGTGATGGGTAGCACCACCACTCCAAAACAATTATGACAAAAATATGCCTAGCATATTAAATATATAGATTAATTTAAGAATAATAAAAAATTATTTAGGATTATAGCCATATAAAAAAACCATAGCAAAACTTTGGATGCAATTACAGTATCTTATCAAGATAATTAGAGGATAAATCTGCAATTAGATAAGATATCTTTGCAAACCAGCTTGATCGGACAGTGGGAAAAGGGTTTTATGGGGTGGAAATGAGGTTTTCCCAGTTTTGACCCTCTATCATAAAAGTTTGTAATTTCTTTCTAAAACATTTTGTAGACCTTAAAAACAACTAATTTAGTATATTGAGGCGATGTTGTATGCTAAATGGTTACGGAGAAAATTTAAAAAAATTTATTTTTAAATTCTCATGTTATTTTGATGGAGAAAAATAAACTGTTGTAGTTGCTCATTTATGGATATATTTTGATCAAATTTGGCAGTGTTTTTTTTTTTCATTTCATACTTATTTACTGACATTTTCCTTAAAAAAAAATAAAAATTATTTACCATCCCTGTAGCAGCTAATTGCTGTTAACCTAATTGCTCATTGAACATAATTTTACTCAAGAAAGAAATCAATCTGACATTTTAAAAGAAATATTTCAGTGAAAATCAAATCTGGCAAATGGAAATTCACTTAGTCTGCAGGTTTTGCTGAGGGTTTTTTTTGCGCTGTAAAAGTGTGTTGTGTTTCTTGAACCAGGGTGCTTGGTATCCTAACTAAATCCTTAAAACCTTGATTATTATGTTCTACGTTACATCTTTAACTATTTTGTTTATAATCTAATTATTTACCTTGACCAGTGCGGTTGTTCATGACGGGCTTCAGTAGAATGTTGTTAGCCTTCTGCAGGAAAACTACAAACAGTTCTCCTCGACCAAGAAGGAAGTAGTCCTTGATAAGCTGAAGCTCTCCTCTTAAATTAGCTTCATCTTTTGCCAGCAGAAACAGATGCTACGGAAAAACAAAATATCAACAAACAGTAGTAGTCGTTAACCGCTTTTCCTGATTAATCTTGTACCCAACCTTTTGGTGACAGTTAATAACTCCTCATTGAAATCTTGGCAATCTTAATCTTCTCAAACTAATCCTCACGAATCACAATACGTAACAAATCTAGATAGATATTACATAATTTTTTACCTGTATGTAAAAGAAGTTGACATCAAAGATGTAACGTTAATATTCCTTTAAAGGTTATCTTAAAATAATTGTTGGAAATACTGTACAACCGTTACAAAAGAGTTGGTGTGTTGATGGAATATAGGAGATACTGTACATAATAATCTGTTTAATTTTAGGTGATTCGATATGGAGTTCTTAGGCAAATTCTTTCAAAATGTATTTTAGTCCTGCTTTGTAATCAAGAACCTTTATTGCATTTGATCGCAGAAACATTTTTCTGTGATGGTCTATGAATGGTCTGATGGACTATGAACTGAATTGTGTTGAAATATATATTGAATTTAGATTTGAAGGATTAAAAGTTTAGAGTCACAACAATTTGGCCAAACCCAGAGGAAATTTTGAGAGTCCAAACTTGAATCAAATTTAAGAAATGATACGCGGTTTAATCTGCTTCAATTACCTGTGTGACACATGACTGAATTTTCTCTATGACAGATTCCAGATTTGACGGCAAATCCAGTGCTGAAACGTTTTGAAGCTCCTTCAACTGAGCCAGTAGAGATGACTCCATCTTGTCATACAGAGATTGGTACTTTACAATACCAGTGCCTGAAATCATACTGTGATGACACAACGGCTTAATACTACAGACTTAAGTTTTTAGTTGACAGGTATCATGCATTAATTTGTTTAGTCCATGACGTAGCTTTTGTCATATTAGACCTGATCATAAAAAAATGTAATGCAGAAATATTGAAATAGTTTGATGGATGGATAGTATCTATGTTATCAGTATATAATAATAGATTTCACTGAAATTAAGGAATTGTTTTTAAAAACTTTAGTTGCAATTTAATTTATAATAGCCCTGAAGAGATTTTGCACTGTTGGGATTGTCCTTTTAGTCATTGGATCCTCTGGTCCCCGGAGGTTTGTAGAGGGAAGTTATATAATTGGTAATGAATTTCGCAAAATGTTTGAAAAAAACATTCAATAGAAACAACAAGTTCTTAATTTCTTTGTCTAGTATATATCTGCTTTTATGAATATGAGCCTACCTTACTAACGTATTTAATGGCTGAATAAAAAACTAGCCTATTATGTGAGAAATCTGGGGAGCGAGCTGCTGTAGTGGTTACAGTGCAGGACTTCTGTCCCTAAGGTTCCGGGTTCAAATCTTGCCAACTCACCAAAAATGGATTTATCTAAGTGATAATGCCGCAACCCCTAGGTATAGCCTGAAGTGAAAATAATTCAAGGCTCGTGCCTAGCGTCTTGGGACAAAAAAAAATTATGTGAGAAATCTGGTAACAGGTAACACCCAGCGGATTTTTATGAAATTCTTGTTTTTGTTTTCTACAGGAGCACTAGATTTAAAATGTAAAAAAAAACTTTCTCCATACATTCTAAGTATCGGAGGAGAAATTAAAAATGGAGCCAAACGAGATTTACCTACCTAACTTTTCATCCCTAGGGTCCTTGGACAGAATCACCACCGTAGATCCGATGAACTTGGTTTTCTCAGGAACTGAAGGTGAAATATAACAGGGAACCATGTCTTGAACAATCACATAGTCTGGTGCTACCCCTTTCTTTAAGTCAGGCTGGAAATAGTTACATTTGTAACATAGATAACAGATTACATTTGTACCAAACTTCATCAAAATTATAAAACATTTATGACAGTTATCGTATCAATGAAGCCCAATCAATTTATTGGGCATCAAACTGCATTAAAATGTAATATATTAACATTAATCTACTAAAATATCCATGTTGCTGAGTAGTCACATTTCTCAACTAGTAGTCAAAACATTCTGCTGTTCGATCATGAGAAAAGTCTCACTTTTTGATGGTTAAAAACTTGAACCAGCTATCTTTTATCACAGTGCTTTTAATAAATCTGGCTAAAAAGTCAGCTGATCTTGGCCAGTAACACAGTTACACATCTCACTCAATTCTACACTCATCCTTGTCTAGTAGTGAACCATTATCAACTACCTTGCTATACACACTCTCTGCGTGCCCCTGACTGTCCAGTGTGGACGAGCTAGTGTTTTGAAGGTCTTGAGAACATTCTTGTATGAAGAACTCCCTGTACGGATCCATCAGCTGACCGTACAGCAAGAAACTAGTCAGCTGTTTCAGCATCACCATGTGACAACACTGCATGATCCTAAAACAATAGCTCAGTAACTCATTTATACAATTTTATACGTTAAATTTCATTACCAGAGTTAATAAAATTTGCAATTTTACAGTAAATCCAAAATATATGTCGTACTAAATTTTACCCTTCCTAGACAAGAAAAAAAATTTAAAATGAATGAATTTTTTTTTTTTAGGTTGCCAGCCTCTTTTAACCTTGCAATTTCCCATCCACATAGACTAACCGCCCGTGTGAGGATCGTATACAGCAAAGCAAGGAGTGAGCCGGTACAGTACAAAGCGGATCTGTACTGATAACATGTTTTCGGCAGTGACCATGATCCGAACCCACGACATTTCTGCCTTAGGCCCGAAGTCCGTGACGCTACCGACTGAGCCACCGACTCACTTAAATTAAATTGAACTTAATTTCAATTGAGAACTCATTTAAGTTTATTCTGCCCGACAACTTCAAACCAAATTTCATCAAAAGCCGACCAAAATTACTCAAGTTATTGTGTCCACGGACACAAATATATATTGGCTATATACATAACAATTTGAACGAATAGTAATTTTAGTCTCTGAGGACATCAAAATGAAACCTGGGCTCAATGTACTACCGTGCCACCTACGGTGATAGCTACTTGCCTGTAGAGAAATTCGCTGAAAACAACATCCTACCTTGCCATTGCTTCATCCACCATTTCAATGCCAGAGGACTGGTGTTGATAGATAAGTTGTAAAATCTTGCATCCATGAAGCTGACGAGCAACAATCTGTAAAGTTATTTTTATTTACTACTGGTGTTTTAATGCTTTAACAAAGGTAGGTACTGTCAAATGTTCTTCAGATATATGCCTTTAATATTGTAGGCCTAGACATATCGTTATACGGACTGTTAAGTACAGTATCACTATCACAATTGTCTGAAGGTTACTGGTTCAATTCCAACAAAAGGTATGTTCAATAATGACTGACAATGGTGTGTGGAACAGTTCCTTACAAAATAACATCAAAGTTCCATGTAGGTGTAGATAAACAACAACAAAAACCAATACAACTTTTTGCTGAAAAAATATCTAGTTGATAAGCTATTAAAAAGTAGTTGTAAAGATTTGCTTTAGCGGTGGAAAACATGCAAAAGTTATATTTTATGACTAATAATATCTTTTGAACGCTATGGACTTTCATCGTATATATTTTTTAAATTCTAATCTTATATAAATTGAAAATACAGGATTTTAATGTACACTCGCACAGTGAGGATAAGAAAAATAAATTGTGAAATTCCCTATAAGAACTACATTCCACAAAGAATCCACCCAAGTCATTGGCCCGGCCATGACATAATCTATACAAAACGAATCATGTGAATACTTACCGGTAGTACCTGGTTTGTACTAAGTACCTCAAATCAACAAAATTAGTACCTCTTCCAGAACTGAGTTATTAATTAATTACAGGTTCCGGGCCAGTGACCTGCTAGCCCGACCATGCTTGAAATAACCCTCATGTTATATACCCCATCATATAATACCTATTTCGTAATATTTTGAACCTCCTTTTAAAAAAATAGGTTCCTCAGGGGAACTTCTGCTAGGAGTAAGAAGAAAATCTTAAACGTAAGAATAGGTTGATATGCACATCTTAAAATACAAAGGTCTTTATTAGACAAATACAATGCCGCAAACTTGAGTTCAAAAGAAGAACTGAGTAAAAAATGACAGTCGTTTAAAGATTCAAAATTACTTATTCAAGTAGGCTAATCTTTGAATGGCCTGTTATTTTTTACTTGGTTGTATTTTACTAACAAAGGTAGGTAATTTGATGTGCATATCAACCTATACTTACATTTAAGATTCTCTTCTGACTCCTAGCGGGCCGTCCCCCTGAGGAGGTAGCATATCACTGAATAATGTTTTAAAATGCTTCTTATTCCCAGTGACTTTGAAGCAAGTTTTGTAGCTTATCTTATTATTGTCAAAATATTCAGCTGTTCCGGGACTTTTCACCAACCCTATATAAATAGTCTTGACTAAAGAACCTGATTGTATAATACATCTCGCCCTTAATCTTCACTCATTTTCCTCTTAAAACACCTATGTGAGTATAACCTAATATACCTGGTTGATGATAGAATTAAGAGTGATCAGTAGGGGTGTGTAAGGAGCTACTTGTGCTAGGATTCCTGTAGCTGTTTGATGAGGATCCTGTAAAGCCTCCTTTTCTACTCTCACTAAATTCCTGCGATAAGATTCCAGGCTGTCGTAAACCCCGTTGCAAAATGCTCGTAGGTACATTCCAGGTGCAACCTCAACTCCATTATCTGCAAGTTTAAAATTCTTCTCAAAGAAACACTCGGTATGGAGTTAGCTAGACCAAACTTGGTACGATGTTTAAATATTGGGAACCAGTGGAATGTTATATAGAATTTCTTGCTTTAAAAAACTTGTAGGCTACTTGTGAACCTATGTGACATAGTGCCGCTTAGTAATATTTTACTCACCCAAAACAATTGATTCATCTCCAAAATGTGGTACTTTCTTTAAAAACTGTTGTATTGTTTTATAATTATCTGCAATATTTATAATCTGTGACAGCATGTTTCTTTCACATGGATGGAAGTCAAATGATGATAAAGGTAGTATTCCTTCCTGAAAAGAAAAGAAAAGAATTTTGGTAGAGGTTCAGTTATAACAGGGGTTCTATGTCTGACAAATAAGTGATAAGTAATGTATGTGACACAATTAGCTCTTAGAGTGTGTTGACCTACAATGTTCTCAAAGTTAATTAGGTAGCAAATTCTAATAATTTTAACAGACCCTCTAAAAATATGTAAATTACAAGTAGGCTAACAGATTTTCTGGTGCCGAAAAGATTGTTATTCACGTGGAAACATTATCAGATGACGTTTGCATGGTGTTTTAGTAACCAACTTCGTCCTAAAAATATTGTAGGCCCGGGGTACTACTACATAGGCCAATTGATCTTTAGAATAGTTAATACTTATCGTTGTTGTTACTGCCTGTTGTAAAGTTACCGTCATTACTGCTTGTTACTTGTTACCATTATTACTAGGCATAGTCTTCTTGTTGTTATTTATTGTAGTTTTTAGGTCCCACTCATGTATTTATTGCCAGCTTCCTTATTTATTATTATTGCACGATTTTTGTAACCACTGATATTAACTTATTATTTGCTACTTATGTATAGTTCATAGTTTGACAAAATTGTATTAATGGAGAAACCGTTGGAATAAATAAATAAATAAATACTATGAGTATTTATGGCAGGCGAAACAAGTTATAAATGTTCCAGGTCGCCATTTCATAAGTATTAAAAAGTATGTGTGTATAAGTTTTTGTGTATGTACTGTACACAATTAGTTTGAGTTTGATTTAACTTTAGGCCTAGCCTTATTAATATTTTTGCCCTAAGTTAAAACATCAACTCGTCAAAGATCATAGTAGCCTATAATATACACTGACTAAGTTATAAGTTTTGTGCGTGCCTAATTATATTTTTTAAATGACAATGAAAAGTAGAGTTCAACTGAAAGGATGTTAAATTATTTGGTAATAAGGCATCTTAGGCCTTGAAAGTTTAAACTTTTAACTTAGTCAGTGTATATTATAGGCTAAGTTACTATGATCTTTGACGAGTTGATGTTTTGTCTTAGAGGCAAAAAATATGAATAGGCCTAAGTTATATCAAACTCAAACTAATTGTGTTAAAGAAGCCTCTCTTAACTCCACGTTCAATGACCATGATTAAATTTGATTAGGTTCCGATTTTGACTCGAAGCTTAGATAACAAAAAGCCAAACTTTCTAAGTTGTTTGTAGCAACCAATAAAATGATTGAGTCGGTTTTTCCAAAAATTTTAATAACAAAGCTATTTAACAAGAGTTAATAGGGTTTTTGGGTACACTTCCATATCTGTTGGCACAAACAACCGAATTAAAATATCGATCAATATATCCATTATTCGATATATCGTTTGGCTAGTTAGGGAAGGTTAACCTAACCTATCCAACCAAACGATATATCGAATTAAACAATAGAATAATCAATATTACTCATTCGGTTGTTTGTGCCAACAGATATGGAAGTGTACCCGGGTTTTTGGGCAAACTTACATTTAATATTCTATTTAGAACTTTCCCTCCAACACCACCTAATGCTAAAATTATATCATGAAGCATTTTGTTCACTGGTGTTTGTGGCCTAGTTTTCATATGATAATTCACAGGTTAGAATTTGTATCACTGGTTTTCACGTAAAAATGAAATACAAATTGAAAATAGGCCTAGTTTTTAGCATTTTGATATTATTTTAGGCTAAAAGTATGTAATTTTACTTTAAAAATCGAACTGACATTAGAATAACAAACATGAACAGGACAAACAAAACAAGACAGACAAGAAGACGATGGATTGTTTGTTTACTTTACTTACTCTTATTTTCAAATAAAGAAGAAAAAGAAGAACTAATACAAACTTAGGTCATTAAGCTGACCATGAAGCTTTGTAAAAGGATTTTTTGGACTAGCATATAGGAAGGAAACCCACCCGCACAGACTGAGTATGTATCTATGTTATTAGTTTGTATGAAGGTATAGTATATCCATTGTAATAGATGTACAGTATGTTGTTGTTGTTGTTTTATTAGAGATTTTCTTTATTGGCGTGGCTGTAAAATTAGTTCATATTACTCTATTATAGATGTAAATTATATTATCGTTAAGTATCTATTTCGTGTTGTATATATACTTCTGCATAATAACGTGGGAACAAGTGGTAGCTACAGAGACATTAACCAGGATCGACCACAAAACGCGGTTGGCCTATGAGACTACTGCCGTGCAATACAATACCTAACTTATATCCTTCATGTCTATTAGCGTCAAGCCAACATCTTATCTGACACATAAAATGCCAAGTTATCTATTCCAAAATCCCCATCTTTAAAGGCAAAGGGAGCTGCTTTCTAATTTAATAACTAGCCATGTTTAATTTTTGGATGGCAAGAAGAATCATATTAATCATACGGTACTGTTTGGTTTAATTTATTACATTGCCTTTTAATACCTACCGTTCGAGCAATTATTAGACTTTTCTCCACATTATACACAGTATTTTGGTTTGAGTATAATGTTGGTGCTGATCTGCTGACGGTTGTCAACTAAATTTTTTAGCGGATTTCTCCTATTTAGAGAATAACTGGGTATCAGAGGACAAACAATTTATAGTAATAGAACAGTTTTATTTGCTTGATATATTTTAAAAACTGGTTTAATTACCAGAAACAAATCTTAACAAAAACAAACTCTACAAAATCCAAGAAACCTCAACATTTCTGCTTCAGCAGTCCAATTATGATAGATCTTAAGGGCAATTATTTAATCTTTGGCTCAACCAATCTCTATGATATGTAGGGCGGAAACATTTTTAGGATTTAAAGTGAGTAGAACCATAGATAAAACATAGTACCTTGGCTATGTTTTATCTATGGTAGAACCATGTAGAACCATGGACTAACCAACTGCATTGACTATGACTATACATATAGTGTATAGTCAATGCCAACTCTTTTATCTAGGATAGAACAGAAAAACTGTCACCCTCTTTTATTCTCTTCCTCTTGTCTTTATTATCCTATGTCAACAGCAAGTAAGTGAATTGAAATAATGAAAACAAAAACAAGTTGTGAAAACAAAGTATGTTTGGTTTTTTTATAACCAAGATAGGCATTTTGGGATGTATGAAAATTGAACAACTACTTTAGAGCTGGTAAATGGTAAGGAAGTCATTAAAACAATACCTTAAATATACTACACTTATTCTCCATTCCTCAGAATATAGAAAATGTATACAGAACTCCCCTAAATCACTTGAATAAATTGACAAGATAACTTCATAGGGTAATTATGTGAGTAGGTAACAAAAGAGTTTTAGTGTTTTACTATTTACTTTTAAAACTCTAGTAAATATTAAAACGAGTAAGCCATTTATAATTTAGCTACTTTAGTAGATCTGCATCAGATCATTTTTAGACCTATGCCAGAATGTGTATGGTATGAATTCCTGAATCACATTACCCAATGCGATATGCACTCTAAAATGGGATTGTACTCCTAAAATAATTTATATGTTGGTCGGGCGTTTAATCTTGCTGTGTGGGTCATGTAAATCATAAATATGTGCTTGTATGCATAAAAATCTCATTTAAAATTATTCATTAAACAATCAACAGATTCTTTTACCTACCTACCTACTTTGTTCTTTCAAGTTTAGGAGTGTCATGCAACCTAACACCCCTTTATCAAGCCCCATTCCACTACCTTAATGCACCCAGCAAGTGTGTCCTATTTTAAAGAATTGATAATAATTGTTGACAAATTCTGCAACCTTCATTTGGTATACCTTTTTACTTTTTAGAAAAATAAACAAATTTTAGTGTGTCATACATCTTAAGAGTTACTAACTGAGGATAGTAGGTTGGAACTTGAAATGAATTTAAGTCCATTAAACATCTAATTTCTTCCCTATCATCTGCAATATTGGAATCCCTTAAACTTGTTCTTTTCTGATGCAGGATTGATGCATTATAGTATAGCCTACTATGAGTGATAAAAAAAATCCAACGAACAAGGATGGTAAAGAAAAGAACAAAAAGAACCTACAAGAAAAGAGAGAAAAAGACAAGAAAGACGAACCGTCTGGTTCTAAAAAAAGCGTTAATTGGGATGAAGCGAATGTGGAGGCAACCTTACACCCTGCGGATAAGACCTACGGCCACATGAAGATAGACGAGTCCAAAACACCTTACGAGAAGATACGACCAGAGGATGGAAAAGGAGTTGATCCACGGGAATTAGCGGCTAAACTAGAAGCAGAAACTTCCAGAAACAGGGAGTCTCAGGAAGAACAACAGCAAAAGTCGTTTAAGGAGAAAAGAAAAGAACATTATTCAGAGTATCATGAGTTAAAAAAGAGACAATCTCAACTACTAGATGATGAAAGTGATGATGACAACGAAGAATCAAATAACAACAAAACAAGTAAACAAAAAGGCAACAAGAAATAGTTTGGTGGAACTAAGAATGTTTAAAGAAGAAAGTGCTGAACAGAAATCTTACAATGTCTTGCTCAATAAATCAGTTTTGAGTTATTATCTAGTCTTATTGTTGAAGCCATTTTAAAGAAGTTAAATTAACATTTACAAATTTACAATCATTAATTTAAACGAATTTACTTGTACATTTGTCCTGTATTCTAATACGCTAACAATATCAATAAAATATGAGCAAATGTAGGAAGAGACTGTTTATTTTTTATTTTTGTATTCTCCAGATTGTTTTCTAAAGAGTAAAATACCCTTAGTAAAATGATATAATTCATGGAGGAAACAGAAATTCTTTTAAACGTGTTCAAAGAATTGTGTATTGCAAAGTCACATTTTCTATCATAGTAGCCTACAGTAGACTACCTCTTATCCGGACACTCTATATTCGGAAGAAGTGACATCTCTTAAACTGGACAATTTTTTCACCACATTGGTTTAACCAGAGTAAGTGGGCGGTACTGAAACGACTCCTTTTGTGGGAAACATTTGGGACCAGAGATTATAACAACGTTTCTCATGTGTGTCTATAGTCTGCATTAGACGTTCCTAATTTAATGAGTTTTTAACTTCGGGGTTGTCGATTTAACAGGAAAACCTGGATCAAATCAGTTAAAAGTGTATAGTAATTTTTAAAATTTATTTACACCAGCATCGCAGTAAAATCGTGATCATTTTTCTTGATCACAGCATCGCCTTATATGGTCTTCTGTGATTGCTATTTTATTACAACATTTAAGGACATTAATAAACAATTAACGAAAGACTACACGGAACATAGTAGCCTAAGTAATTGGGGCTATTGGCAGTTATTCTGAATTCCCTACACCTATAAATTATCTTTATTCCAGTTTATTAACTATTTTCTGTCTGACCAATTACCCTGATAATAATAGATAAAAAAGGGTTTTAAAGAGTGATACAATAGTAATTCTAAACTACTTTATTATAAAATATACAATTATATATAATATTCAGCATCAATGGAGATATTTCTTATGATTTAAATCTAGGCCTTGTTAAAGTGTCAGTTCTCATTTGTATTTTCACATCAACTATCAGAATCTGAGACTAAACCCTGTCCCAAATGCAGCCCTGGTCCTTTCCGCCGCCACACTGCCCATATGGAATCCCTCATCTGTGTCTCCCTGGAAAAATAAAAACATTTCATTGTAGCTCATTGATTTTAATATATTTAGTGATTTAAAAATAATATATCAATTAGCACATAATATAACAGAATTTAGGAAGGATTATTGTGAAGAAGAGGTCCACCCCCCCCCCCCCCACTGAATTGAGGGGTATGGCATACTTTTCCCATACCATCGTATTTTTTTAACAAAGATTTGGTAAAAAAATTAAGTAGGTATTGTGGAACAAAATATTTAAGGCCTATTCTGTTAGTTTCAAAGTTAAAAAAAAAAAATTGGAAGTGAATTGACAGAAAAGAAAATTTTTTAGGCTATGGTTTGAAACTCACCAACTGTTTGTAGTCTCGGCCCCCTGAGGGGGGCTTGGGGGAGGCTATGATGGCCTTACGTCCGACCTCAGACTTGGCTGGCCACGTAGGGAACATGGCGGGGTCTATGGGCAGAGGAGGCTCGGCAAAGTAGTCATGCTTCAGAGCCTCATCCGCGGTGATCCTCTCCACCGGGTTGTATGTGAGAAACCTGCAAAGAATCGAACATAGAAGAGATCACAAATTGAAAATAAAGACGTTTGATTAGTACACTGCTGTGAAAAACACATGCCACAAGTTGAAGTTATAGTACATTATCATAATACAAAAAATCATAGATGAAATGTCATTAAAACATAGAGTTAAATGATTGTTTGCCTACTACAGTTGTCATACAAAGTGGCGTTTGGTTAACTGAAATTAGTTTGTAAACAGATGATTTCTCAACACATTGCCCAATACTTTGATCAGTCTGAATGACAACTGAACCAACTAAACTTCATTTCATTTCAAACAATCTTTATTCATTTAGCACATATTTACAGTACATTGAACAGTGTCGACTTTCGGCCTGCCAGTGGATGAACAATTACTTGTGACAGCAATACTACTTCCACTAAATGTTTTTTTGTGAACCAGTAGATCTAATATTTAGAAAAATGTGGTCTAAAGATCAAACTGTTTACCTTTGTTTTGGCTCAAGGATTGCTCACTTCTAGTTGACTGCATACCAAATAAAGTTCTGATAATCCACCTTTAAACCTAGTGAAATATAAAAAATAAATAGATGGCAGAGACCAACCCAACACTACTTAAAGCAAATTGACT